GACTTTAGTCTTTGCAACTTCAGGGATCTTATCTATGCACAATCAGCTTGTAACACTCCAAAGAGAAAGGAAAACTTGAAATCGCATCATATGACCCCCTTTAAATGTCAGTGTATGTTTAAGCAGTGTAGCGTATTATTCACAACCAGCAAGCCACTGTTCTTCTCTAGTTGTGTCGTTGACAACGAAACAAACTGGTCTTAATGGAGACTTAAATGGTTCAAGGATGTGTTTCTCTAGAATCAATCAACCACAGGACACAATAAACACTCGCTGCGTCCAGAAACCAACCCAGAGAGGAGTTAGTGCCCCTCTTTAGCTTGCGTTACTTATTTGAAAAAGTAACTCAGATATTCTCTTGTAAATTAAAAAGTAATGCGTTACTTTACTAGTTACTTGAAAAAAGTAATCTGATTACGTAACTCGCGTTACTTGTAATGCGTTACCCCCAACACTGGTGATATATGTAACGTTTCGTGATACAAACTTCGTGAAGGAACTGCAGGGGTTTCACGAGTTTAATGAAAAGGTAATAATTAAATCATAAAAATGTTCAATTAAAATCAATCCAAATAAAACACTAAAAAAAATGTTTACCTGCATGTCATATGTGACCATTACCCAATGTCAGAGATCCGTGAATATGCACGGTTTGGGAATGCCTACATTACATGTAAATAATAACCTATTATAGTAAGAGTCCTTAACCATCTTCTAGAATAAACATCATTCAATGTAAATTGTGATAATCGTAATTAATAATCGCAATTACAATTTCAAGGGAATAATCGACAATTATGATTTTTGTCATAATCGAGCAGCCGAACAGCTTTCTGTTGGTCAGTGCGGTGAATGTGCATTACCAATTGGAAAATTAGCAAAATGTACGTCCATTTACGTGGATTCCTATTAAAATGACTGAATTTCGTTCACAAAAATTCGACGAACCAGTGATGATTCGACCATGAGACTCAAATCTTTCGAATTTGTTCACCAAAAAGATAGCCCTTACTGCATGTTACATCGTTGCACCAGTAATTGCCGACATGTGAATCTTTTTCGGTGTTATAAATTATTCACTTGTTGTTCCAAAGAAGAATATCTCGCAGCACCAAAGATATTTTGAAGAGTGTTGGCAACCAAACAGTTGACGGTAACCATTGACTTCCATAGTATTTTTTTCCTATCCTGTGTAAGTCAATGGCTGCCGTCAAACGTTAGGTTGCCAACATTCTTCAAAATACTTTCTTTTGTGCTCAATAGAAAAAAGAAACTCAACTCAGGTTTGGAACAACTTGAGGGTGAGTAATGACAGAATTTTCATTTTTGTGTGAACTATCCCTTTAAGTCAGTGAAAACTTTGAATTGTGTGTATATTTGACTTTCAGTATAAATTGTATTTGTTCATTTATTGTAATATATTTAGTTTGGAGCATCATGTCTAATCTCACATGGGATAAGATTTGTGGAGCTTACAAAATTAGCTTAGTAGTAACTCAATAATAATCATAATCAAGCATTTATGCTTAAAATATTTTCAAGTGAGTGCTTTATTTATCCACCAATTTTCCTACCAATACAAAAACTGCATAACATTACGAAGAACATTGGTTCATCGATTCATATCCGTCATAACATTCTCAAACTTGGCCTTGTAATAGTTATATTTATGGTCTTTTTATGCCTTTATTGTGAGAGGACAGTAGAGAGCTGACAGGAAAGCACTGGGAGGAGAAAAGGGCAAAGGACCTCAAGGCGGGATTCGAACTCGGGTCGCCGTGAGCGCAGTTGCACTATATGTCGACGCACTAACCACAAAGTTGATAGACAACAGACAGCCACAGACTATATGATTCATAATAATATAACGAATCATCAATAAATATATTTATGAAGATGGTTATGACATTCACAGATTTAGGTCATGATGTGGGCTGTCTTCATTCACACATCAAGATCATCATCTGGATCCTCCTCGTCAAAGTCGTCATTGGCATCAGGCTCGTACACGATCCTCCCGGAGCCAGGAGTCGGCTTCAGAAGAGCTGATTTTCTGCGGATTGCAGCATGAAAGACTCGATTTCTCAGAGGTGAAAATCAGTTTGGCAAAATTATAAAATAATGATCTTTTAGATAAAATAAGCATTATATATAAAATAATTATTTACAACCAGTGTTGCTATTGTTGACTAAATCTAAACGTATTAAAATTAGTTTTCATTACCTGAAATAAAGTGAGTAAAGACAAATCTAAATGTTACAGTTACGTTCAAATTAAATATTAAAAACTTAAACTTAATTAGAAAAGTTGCCCTGGCATCTAACTGAAATAAAATACTGAAAAGAAAGAAAAACTGAAATAAAAATAAAGTACTAAAATTCTTAAAACTGAAATAAATTTAAAGCTAAATAGAAATACAAAAAAGCAAAAGCTAAAAAAAGACAAAAGCATAGAAAATTACACAAGCTTCAACTAAAATTAAAATGAAAACTGAAAATAAAAAAAGAAAAGCTAAAGTGATAGAAATGTGATAGAAAAGCTAAATATGAATAAAAACTATAAGAGTAAATAATACTAAAACAACACTGTTTATAACAGTTGGGGTCTAAAATTGAAATAAAATTAAAGCTAAACAGAATTATAAAGAAACTACATCTAATAAAAATGGCAAAAGCACATCAAATTACTAAAATGTTAACTAAAATTAAAAAAGAAAAAAAAGCAAATTCAAATTATTAATAGAAACTATAATAGTATATCAATAATACTAAAACAACCCTGTTTACAACAATTGGGGTCTAAAATGAAATAAAAGCTAAGCTGAAATATAAAAAAAACTAAAACTAATTAAAAAAAATGACAAAGCACATCAAACTACTAAAATTTCAACTAAAATGAAAATACTATAATAATATCAATAATACTAAAACAACACTGTTTACAACAATTGGGGTCTAAAATGAAATAAAAGCTCAACTGAACTAAAACTAATAAAAAAATGACAAAGTACATAAAATTACTACAATTTCAACTAAAATTAAAATGGAAAAAATAAAAAAAATAAAAATAATTCAAAATATTATTAAAAACGGAGAATTGAGGTCTCTTACTTTTCTTGGCTAAATACAAACGGCAGTGCCACTTTCTCCTTGGCTTTTCTCTCCTCCTCAGACAGACGCAGATTGAAAGTCAGGTTTGATGTTGGATCAGCCTGATCACATCACAATAAAAGACAAACAGTTACAATGCTACACCTCCAGCTGAAGGTGCTCTGAAAACCAAAGCGGCTTTGCTCACCTCAGACACACCTCGCTCTTTCTGTGCATGTCCAGGCTGACGTGGTTTGGCCTGTACTGAAAGGGTTGCGTCCTCGGACACACTGAAATACTCTTCCTATAAATTGATTTCACAGATAATCAGTTTTATAATCTCATGTTTATTCAGACTAAAACCTCATGTCTCACCTCTTGCATGACTTTGCCTGACTTTGTGCGTCTTGTGGTCTTTGCCACAGAATGGCGTTCATTGTCTGCAGGTGCCACAGAGATAACCGTACTGGCCAAGTGGCACACAATACCCACAATGCCTTGCTGATGCAAGTCTGAATGCAGGAGGCCGATGATAGTTTTAATAACTCCTCCTAGTGGTCAGTGGAAAACACAAACAAGAGCATTCGTTTTCCATGGCAAGCCAGTGTTTATAGATTCTGGGGCAAAATGTTTCACCTTTCCTGAGCTCTTGAAGTGTCTGGCAGAAGACAACAGGGTCATGATGTCTCAAAACCATCGAGAGAGAGTCAGCGACAAGTACTGATGCTTTGGCATGCTGTGTGTCTTTGATGAGCTGAGTTATGTGTTGAGAAGCGAACCGCTCGACGGTGAAAGACGATCTGCGCGTCCAGCCGAGGGGATCGGGGAAACCCTTATGAAAATGAAGCCTTTAAACAGATCAGATAAAGCACTTGCATCAACTATAGTTGTTCTCAAAAAGTGTGCAGTGACCCCAGAATAGGCTGCAGGGGGAAAAAAAAAGGTAAATGCAAATAATAATAATTAAGTAACTTACCATATTATACACAGTTAGGGTACATACATAGTTAAGATAGCAAAACAACCAGGATTATAAACTTTACAAATTTGCATATTTTGGCCTATATTATTCAGTCACTTGATAATATGACTAATATTAATAAACTATGGCTAAAATCAAATACTTTTTCTATTTAAGCCAAAGGAAAACAAAAAAATCAATCTGTCACTAGATACTACGGCTAGCATTAATGAAATATCAATCATTTATATTTACAAAATTTTGCTAAATTAGCAAAATTCATGTGAACAAACAACATGGAAAATAATGGTAATTGCAAATAATACAAAGTAACTAACTTTACTGTATACAGTTAGGATAACAAAACAACCAGGATTATCAACTACTTATTCAGTCAGTTCATAATATGGCTAATATTAATCAAATAATATGTTTGCTGTTGTTTATGCACTAAAATGCATAGATGTATGTTAATAAAAAAGCAGGGAAATACACAAAGGTAAATGCAAATAATAAAACGTTTCAAAATAACCAGGCTGTGCACATTTTGGCACAAATTAATCAACTTCATATTTTGGCACATATTCTTCAGATCCTATGGCTAATATTAACATATTAATATGTTAATTAACATATCTGCTGTTGATTGCACACTTCCAAAATGTATGTTAATAAAGCAGGGGAACCAATGATAAATGCACATAATAAAAAGTAACTAACAATATCGTACATGGTCATGGCAAGCAATTTAGCAAAACAACCAGATTGATCAATTTATATCAAAGGCTGTGCATATTTAGTCACAAATGAATCCGTCACTTGATACAATTGCTGATATGAATAAAATATAATACTTTTGCTGTTGTTTATGCACTTACAAAGGTTATGTTAATAAGCACAAATGAAAAATAATGGCAAATAATAAAAAGTAACTAGTAATATTGTGCATAGCCAAGAAAGGAAAATAACCAACGGGCTTGTTGAGCATATATTGGGAAACATCTTCAGTCACTTGATATTATGGCTAATTTTAATAAAATATAATACTTCTGCTGTTGTTTATCAAAATTAATGTTATTACTTTGCATAAAACAAACAAAATAAAGTTTACTTCTGCATGATGAACTGTTTTGTGTGGTGTTATATCACCTGGGCCCAGTTTTTCAAAAAATGTAATCTGGATCAAATTGATCCGGATTTGGAAATCCCATGTTTTGCGATCCAGGATCGCCTCATCCAGCTTACTTTTATGCCAGTTTTTTAAAGGAACACTGGATTGGATCACTGTGATCCAAATACCAAATTTCAGGATTACCAAATCCTGTTTACCAGAGCCTTAAATGGAACCCACAGTGTAGCCTACTGGCTTAGCAAAGAACAACAGGTAGGCAAAATACCAGAGGTCACAAATAGCCATTGTGTGTTTTAATTGTAAGAAACAGAAACATTTTACATTCCTTATTTTGTAATGTTAAATAACAAAACAATACTATCCAATAGTCAAATCATTTACAGGACAGATACCAGCTCTTTCCATCTCTGCCTTTAGGAGATGTATCTCCATCTGCACTTTTTTCTGCTGCAGTTGGGCAAGCAAGATTTGTTCTTTACCCAGTTCAATTTGTACTTCTGCTCTTTCGGTTTCCCATTTCAGAAGCAACTCATAGCTGTCACCATCCTGGTTAGTAGCTGAGGAACGTTTGCGTTTTCTTGTAGGAACGTCTTGGACTGTCTTCATTACATCCACTGGGGATCCATCTTCCTCCTCAATCACTGTAGTTAAGTCCAGGACAAACATTTCCTCTGCAGGAGAATTTTGCTCGCATTCTTCTGAAGTCCTAGTCTCTGTAATTGTGGCCTCTCCATCTGCTTCCATGCCTTCAATGCCATGCAGAGCCTCTGATTTTTCTCCTATGATATCAAGGACCATATCAGTGAAATCACCCCTCTTATATGGTTGCTTGCCTGTTTGGGGGTTCTTGGCTTCAGTAAGGGCTTTCGTTGTCTTGGCCCTAAGGTTCTTCCATCGCAACATAACTTGTTTTATGGTCCTCTTTTGGCCAGACCCCATGGCATTGACATGATTGGTTATGTCCTCCCAAATGTTGCGTTTTCCTTTTTTGGTCACTTCTCCACCCTTTGCAGAGCTGAAACCTCCTACTATTGAGGCAAAATTGGCCCGAACACCCTCCAGCAGTGCACAGGTTTCTGCCACAGTGACATTAGGCCCTTTTGAGTCCATGGTTCCAACTCTTTGGCGTAGCCAACACTGATCTTAAAAGCCTTGAGCATGATTGCTTTGGCTTGTGCTCAATTAGGCTTACACCAATCAGCTCATTGCTGGTTAATGGGTGACACCATTTAAACACATCATGTCTTTGCACACATTTCTCTTAGCCTACAGAGGCATCCACATGGCAGGTATTGTTCATCGTTACCGTAGGAGAAGGTACCGTCAAAGGGTGCATGCTGAGCATGCCAAACCACTCGAGCAATACACATCAGAAGAACTGTATGCACGTTTTCGCATTGGGAGAGATGACATTAAGTACATTGCAGATCTTGTCAGGCCAACACTCCAACACCAAACCCAAAGGAGTCATGCTTTATCCGTGGAGGAACAGTGCTTAATCGCTCTGCGCTTTTACGCATGTGGGACTTTCTACCAAGTAATTGGTGACAATATGGGAGTGAGACAAGCAACCGTGAGTAATGTGGTGAAGGCTATGTCAGTAGCACTGGGCAGTCTGATCAATCAATTTGTTTCCTTTCCCAAGGATGACCAGACAGGTCAGACTAGGCACAAGTTTTTTCAAATGGGGAACATGCCTAGCACTATTGGTGCTATTGATTGTACTCATGTGCATATCCAAGCACCTTGTGAAAGGGAGTGGGAGTATGTCAATCGAAAGGGGAGGCACAGCATCAACATCCAACTTGTGGGCAACGCCGACCTCATAATAACCAACTGTGTTGTGAAATGGCCAGGGTCTGTTCATGATGCACGTATTCTAAGAGAA